TTTTTTTTTAAATTCACAATCTATTTGTGTTACCTTAAACTCAATATAAAATAAGAACTTTTGAAATCACTAATAATTTTCAGTTATTTTAAATTTTTAACTGTTCCTTCTTCTTTCGGACTCAAATCCTAATGCTGGATCTTTAAACACAAGATAAAGGGCTGATTTTCAATCCCTGGATCATTAAGGTATAATATATCTATGTAGAGTAAGTGTGGTCGGAGTTGGAGATGTATCAGCCACGTGGACGGACAAACAGAATTTGCAATGTATTTATTTAGATAACATATAAGGGAAATTATTATGTTTTAAGAAACTCATAGACATTCATTTCCTACAAAACAACTTTATTTTCATATGTTATCTTTCATGTTGGATTACATTTGCCGATAAAAATCGATTCTTATTTATTTGATCGAGCTGGGTCAGACATTTATGTCTCTATCCTTCCAGCCATCACGGTCCTGCTTCAAGGGTGGATGATTATGAGGGTGGCATTCTGTATCAAAACATAGCTGGTCATTGTTGCTGGGTAACCAACCCGGCTAGGTGTTCAGACCAGTAGATCACTCTGCAGTTACTGTTTTGCTCGCCAGCAGTTTTCCTGCAAAAGTATGGGTCCATAAAGCTATGTTATCTAGTTGGATTTTATCCAAAAGAGGTATTAAGTGTTGCTCTCATCATCCGACTGTAGTTTACCTCAAGGTCAGAGTCTAAGTATTTAGTTAATATACAAGAATGCCACAAGTCTACATCATCTAGAAGATGCTCCTAACGATGTGGGACTCTATGTCCATGGTTCTAAAACGGAATTCATAGGCTTTAACCAGCAAGGCTCAATACAAACTTTCTCAGTTTATTTAATAAAAATTGTCGAATCTTTTACATACAATGGAAGCCAAATAAATTCTACTGAAAAGGATGCGAATATTTGCATAGATGAAGCCTGGAAATCTGATCTATCAGTCAAATATACGCGGAGGTTTTTTTGCACCACGGTAAAAATTATAATAAATATGTAAACCTATTCTCGTGTGTGTATGTGACAGCGATTAAAAACTGCTCATATTAACAGTAAAGAAATAAAAAAATAAGATATGAAACAATATAATATTTGTCTCACTTCATATTTTTTGACAAATATATATCAATCTCCTGTTTATCATTTTTATATACTCATGTTTACCTTATACAAGGCCTAAGAGCCACTCAAGGAAGAGTTTACTCTGTGATGCTGTATAAGTGTAAAAAATGAAAGTGCTTTTGATGCACTCAAAAACATTATTGTACCTAGATTTAATGAGGGCTCATGTCAATATCACATGGAAACTGTTGTTCCTATACATCACGAATGTTAAGCAACATCGAGTCTTGCCAGTTCCATCAAGCTTAAACTCTAGGGTTTCAGCTAATGTCTAAGAATGCCACAGTTCTCCTACATCATCTTGAAAATACTCCTAAAGATGTGGGACTCTATGTTTATGGCTCTAAAACTGAATTCATAGGCTTTAACCAGCGAGGTTCAATACAAACTGTCTCAGGTGAATTAATAAAAGATGTCGAATCTTTTACATACGTTGAAAGCGAAATAAATTCTACTGAAAATGATATGAGGATTCGTACAGCTGAAGCCTGGTTGACATTTGATCTATCAGACAAACTTAAGCAGGGATTCTTTTACACCACTGTAGAAATTATAATCGATACTTAATCCTGTTTTCGTGTGTATTCATATACACACGAAAGACCGATGAAAAATTGCTCATTTTAACAGTAAACAAAGAAAATAAGATAATAAATAATATAATATTGTTTATCTCCCTAGTTTTTGACATATATATATATATATATATATATATATATATCGTTTTCTAGTTCATTATGTTTTTTATTTTTTTATATACACATGTTTACCTTATACAAGGCCTAAGAGCCACTCAAGGTAGATGTTACTGTGTTTGCTGTATGGGTGCTAAAAAAGGCAAGTGATTTTCATGCACCCATACAACATTATGGTACCTAGCCTCTATATGGACACATCACATTGAAACACCAGTTCTACTACAATCACAAAAGTTAAGTTACGTCGAGCCTGATCAATACTTATATGGGTGAGCGCTTCGGAATATCAGGTGCTATAAGCATTGATATACAGGAGTGGGTGTAATGGATAATGGCTCGAGGTTGTTAATCGGAGAGCAGAGTTCCAAGTCTACTTGGGTTTATTAGATTCATTTACGCGCAAATATCCTTGGGAAATATTGATCAACCTTTTCACACCCCATTTATTGGTTATTTATTAAAGTTTTTATAACTTAATTATTGTTATCTCACTACCCTAAAATTGTTTAAATCTAAAAAATATTTTCTGGCTTTAAATAAGCAGAAAAAGGTTGGTAAACCGAAAAAAAAACAACATTTTAAGAATAGTGAAATCGAATATAAAACGAACTATTATTCTGTATAAGTAATAAAAGTTCTTCAAGATTACATCTCTGGGATTTCCTAAGTTCTTATATAAATGTATTTTTTCGTGGATATTCGGAATGCGTTTCTGTAGATAATCCGCCTTCCGAATTCAAAATACAGCCTTGTCTGTTGCCTTTGCCTGGGAAAAGCGTTATGACAATCAGAGAATGTTGAAACAGTTGTTCCCGTATGATCATCGAAGTTAAGCAACGTCAATCCTGGTTAGTATTTAGATGGATGCCCGTTTGAAAATATCAGGTCCAATAAGCTTGGATGTGCCGGTGACGTAAGGGAGATCTATTGGGAAATGGAAATTGTAGAGCCTTATTCTATGTTCAGTCGGGTTCGTTATATTAGTGCAGAAATCCCCTAGGGAAAGGTATGAATCCATTAATTTCCAACTATGGGTAAATTAGTACAACTTGTATCAGTAAAACGTTATTATCTCTCCGACATCCCTACAATCTAAGAACATTTGCAGGCATTAAATAAAGTGAAAAGCGTTGATAAACCGTAAAAAATCAATCAATGGGAAAGGCATGAATGTATCTCTTTAGCTAAGTATAAGTCAAATAAGGTTGACGTCTCTTGGTTTAGATGGCCGTGTAAACTGGGGTTTCTGCTTCTCGGCTGCTATGTAGGCGGGAGATTCGAGTCTTGAGTAGGAGTGGAAGATGAGGTCTCTGGTTTGGGGTTACTGTATAGGCGGGGAACTCTAGTCTTAGGTTGATTTGTAGACGGGAGATATTAATATTGAGTCACAGCGAAGACTGCGCTAAATAGTCTAGCCTTGAATGACTATGAACGATGGTGTCACTGGTCTTGGGTGACTAGTTTCTATAATTCATAAAATCTACGTACCATAGAGAGAAGTCCATCAGAAAACTTACCATGAAAATATTGACTGAAAAGGAACAGGGAAGCTATATTATGGCGGTGAGAATATGACTGAAGCTGAGATGACATGTCAGGACCAATAACATTGCAGATTCTTCTTTGGATTTAATCAAGAATCTGTAAATATATAGTAACATTGTACGTTATTTCCGACGTCAGCTGCCAATGTGACCAACCAGATTACTATTAAGACAGAAATAAATAGTTGTGTCAACAGGGTAGATAATACTCTGAGAGTTGATAAGATCAAGAATGTAATTTCTGAAAATTAGAACAACGTAGGTCCAAGGACAGAGATAAATCTCTTGGGACCACTTGCATTAATGCAAAAAGATTTAGAAGAGTGGCCATTAAAGATTACTTTCATTTCGAGATTTGATAAGAAAGACTAGACAGTTCAAAAATCAATCCAGAAATACCATATCTTTTTAAATTGTGAAGGAGACATGCATGCTAAAATGCTGTCAAATACCTCCGAGATATCGAACGCAACAGCCCGTGCTTCACCATTCTTATCTAAAGTTTGAGAGAGTCTTTCAGCAATAATCGTTAATAAATCAGCAAATTATTTAGAGAAACGAAAACCATATTTCTTATCTGAAGGAAGACCCCCACGATTTGAGATTCTTAACCCATTTAATTATAGCCACGGGTACTTTGCCAAAGAGAGGCAGAAGGCTAACAGGCTCATAGTTAGAAGGATCAAACGGTTCGCGTGTGTTATTAAGTACTGGAACTACAGAAGCAACCATCAGGAAAAAAAAGAAAAAGAAAAGGTATTTATTGTATAGCTTAGAGGGGACAGGAACCAGTTCGGGAGGACATTTCCTAAGAACTATTGCTAGGATACCATCAAGGCGGCATTCATTGTGTAAGTTTCCAATTTAGAGATGATAGCAGAAAACATAGAAGCTTTAAGAGTCACAATTCCAAGTGAAAATTCAAGCAAATATATTCCAGATGAGTCAAGTAGAATTCAAAGAGAATGTGCGACAAAAATATTTTACATTACCGATAGAAGATGTTAACTGAGTGAAGGACGAAAGACTTACTCTCATTTAACACACTATTAGAGAGCTGCCAGTAGTCACATGAACCAAACTGGTTAGTGGCTATACGGTTCCTAGTTCTATCAGCAAACAGCGGTTTAGTCTAATTGAGGACTTGTTTAAAATTGTCTCGAAGAATCACAGACAGAGGTGTCTGTTGGGATCGGAATTACGCACGAAAAAAATGATTCCTGTGGCCTATAGACTTTGAACAGGTCGGCATCGACCAAGATGAAAATTTTGGATTTTACCTGATATTTCCTAAAAGGTAAAAAACAAAAAACAAATGCCGTCTTTAACCCAAGAAGAAACAATTCTCCAGAGGTGAGTGAGTAGTTACATGCGAGTTTGTTATGTGCGTGCATCTGTGTATTCATCAGTGTGTTTGTGTGTGTGTGTGTTGTGTGTGTGTGTGTGTGTGTGGTGTGTGTGTGTGCGTGTGTGTGTGTGTAAAGCAATTTTGAACTCTGGCCTTATAAGAAGTTATGACAATGGCGTAAACTTGGCTTTAAGCGCAAAATACAAATCATTAGATTAACATCCGAAAGGGATTTAAGAAGAAAATGTTCACAGCGACGAATCGACGATTAAATGCTGACAAAACACGAGGGATAGAGACAGCCAGATAAAAACAGAGAGAGAGAGAGAGAGAGAGAGAACCATCTCTAAAACTTATCTTGGCTTTCCAGTAACCTTCAGACAGTACTTTTTCTGCTTCGTCAAACTTTTTTTTTTTTTACATTGCTTTAAACATGCTATGCTTTTCACGAAAAAAAAAACAACATTTTTCTCAGATCAGTTTTGACCTGCGATTTGATCCTTAACTCTTTCACACAAGGAAAGCTTGAACTAGGTCAGTTTTGAGTGTCATGATGTTAACTTTAAGTATCGCAACAAAACTATCGGCACGATATTCAGTAAAAAAACTCACGTGGCTCCATCAACATTGCTTGCTACAAGGTGATGAGACTCACAGCTTTTTCTACATTAGACCTTTACTTTACATTAAGTGAAATTTTTGATGCAGATACGATATAACTTAATAAGATAACTTATAACACGCACATGAACGATCAGATATCAGGAGGTGATGACAAAGTTTCTCTCAAATTTAAAATCAGTATGTCAATATTCAGACATTTGAAAGTGTGGTTAGGGCGAGAAATCATTTAGTATCCTGTTATATAACTGCTATATATATATATATATATATATATATATATATATATATATATATATATATATATATACGTTACAGGATACTGAATGACTTCTCGCTCTAACCCACTTTCAAAAATGTCTGAATATATATATATATATATATATATATATATATAGCTAGATAGATAGAGAGAGAGAGCGAGAGAGAGAGAGAGCGAGAGAGAGAGAGAAAAGGCACGGTGGGGTAATGGATATCGGCTTGGATTGTGGAATCACAGAGCCGAGTTCGAATCCAAGTTGAACCCATTACATTCACTTACGTGCTAATACCCTTGGGAAAGGTGTGAATCCTATTCTTCTCCCTCCAGTTAAATAGCAGGACAGACTGGGTTCTATAGCCTTGGATGGCAACTGGTCTAGGAGAAGGACAACTCTGAATTCAAAACCCGAGTGGGGTTGTTTGGGAACCTTGTGGCACGTAGTGCACCAGGTCTCTGTATTCGGCCCTTCAAAAAGTGTGGATGGTCCTGCACGAAACCTTTACCACTATAATCAAATCTCATGTGCCGGTATCGGGCTGTCAGTTTCCTGAAACTGATCTGCTTGACCCTCATACGTCGAACCCGACGGGAGAATATATATATATATATATATATATATATATATATATATATATATATATATATATATATATATATATATATATATATATGTGTGTGTGTGTGTGTGTGTGTGTGTGTGTGTGTCTGTGTGCAAAATCTATCTAAATAGGCCAGGAAATTATCGTACTAAAGGGTTATATATATATATATATATATATATATATATATATATATATTGAACAATAAGAAAAAATAATAAAAAATTAAAAAAATTAAAAAAAATTTGGACAATAAAAAAAAAATAGAAATTAAAATAATTAAAAAAATTAAAATCTTTAGACACACTGGGTTGTAGATTAATATTCTTTCGTTTTTTTTTATTATTATTCCATTTAGATTCCTCGACTAGTTTCGACCGAAATGGCCATCATCGGGGGAAGAAATATTTCTGCTTGCTGTTAGCAGTAAACTACAGAAATGAATGTCTTTTGTTGGAGAAAATGAACTTTTGTCTGTAGTTTTCATTTGTTTTTTTTATTTTTTTATCTTTTTCACATGAATCTTTTAACATTCCTTGTGTTGGTCAAACAGTCTCTTTTAAGTTGTTATTTGAGATAAGAGCTGGATAGATACATGTTACTCTGAATTCTCTGGTCAGTTTGACAGTTTTATTGGACCTGGTGAGGGGATGTGTCTCTGTTTAGTGTTTCTGTGTGTGTTATTTGGTTCTTAGGGAGTGAGTGAGTATGATATATGTAAGCGTGTGTATTGCTGTAGGTGTGTGTTATCATTTGGCTCATTAGGGAGTGAGTGAGTATGATGTGTGTAAGTGTGTATATTCGTGTGGGTGAGTGTATAAGTGTGAGGCCTCCACACCTCCGTAAGCATGTCTGTTTTGTGTGGGTGAGAAATGTGGGTAGGTTTTGATTTGTTGAGTTATATATTGTTACTCACTATATATTGTTAAATTTATGATTTAGCCCGGCTGGATATTTGTATCCACTTATTTTCAAGGGACTCTAAAATCTTTCTAATGTTATCTGCTCTGAACTTTTCTATTCTCTCAATTATAGTGAATTTGGCATGGGTTTTGAAATCATGTTTTTCCAGGCGGAAATGTTGTTCTACAGGTAATCATTTTTCATGGGGAGTCGACTTAATTCGCTTAAAATAATTATTAATTCTGTAGTGAAAGGGCCATTCAGATTTTCCTACATATTGTTTCTGGCATAGTGTGCATTCTAGGAGGTAAATTATATTATGACTTCTACAGTTAGAATCGTGGTAGATTTTGAATGTAGATTTAGTGATTGAGCTAGTGAATGAATTCGTGTTTTTAATATGGTTGCAACATAAACTTCTTTTGTTGTTATATGGTTGGGAAAATCCTGTTGTTTTTGTTCTTAGTTCATTACGAATTACCTTGTCCCCTGAAATGTGGTTACTACCTATGATTTCTTTTAGGTTCTTAGGTCTACGATATGCAAGAAAGCCGAGTTCCTTAAGCAGTTTTTTTAGGTCTGGTTTGAGATGTAGTATTTCCCAGCGACGTTTGATTATTTGGGATAGTGGAGGCAGAGTGGGATTGAAAGTGGTTACTAGAGGGATGCAACTAGATTTATTTTTAATCTTGTACATTAGGGTGTCTTCTCTAGGTGTGGAAATTGCTTTATTTATTTGTTCACTGATTAGGTGTTGTTTATAGCCACGTGTTGTGAATTGATGCTCCAGATTTTCAATGTGTTTATTTAATTCTTCATTGTTGGAACATATCCTTCTGAGTCTAAGTGCTTGTGAACAGGGAAGGTTCTCTTTGAGGTGTTTAGGGTGGGAAGACTTAAAGTGTAGATAGTTGTGGGTGTCGGTTATTTTAGTGTGTAGTGTCGTTTGTAGTTTCCTGTTTTCATCTATGTAAATGCCGGTGTCTAAAAATGTTACTGACGAGACCACACGGTCGAAACCCGGGTTGTGCAGAAGCTAGAATATTTCCATCATTCGATAGTATATATATGGGAAATTAACTATATTGCCGACATGGAAAAAAAATCACTTATAAAGGTAATTTACATTAACCAGAAAAAAAGGCTTAGACAGAAACGTCTATCTTTTTAAATTTGGACTTTTTAATGTAACTATAACAACAAAAAAATGTCACTTTCATTTTTGCCTTGAAAAAGTCGGAAGACAAAACGCGTCGGCAAAATCTAAGATTTTATTCCAATTGTCATTTTATACCAATCTGTCTTTTCCACAGAATTTAACTCTCTCACTCTCACTCTCTTTCTCTCTCTCTCTTATATATATATATATATATATATATATAAGGCAAAAGAAAAACTCATTTTAGCCGACGCGTTTCATTATTTTTTCCACTTTGTCATACTTTTTCCCCTAAAATACTTCTTGATATAAGGGTTAACTTGGAAGGAGTAAGAATGAGAAAACTTTAGTGAGGAGAAAGGACAATAGAAGAAGAGAATTCAGGAAGGCAGAAAATGGTCGTTGGTGTTGCATTTACATTTTTGAAACCAATCCAGAATCGGAAGGAGTTTCACAGCCAATCGTTGATACCTGGTTACTAATTTATATATATATATATATATATATATATATATATATATATATATATATATATATATATATTGTGTCTGTATTTAGGCAGCATTTTTTCATTCATACATGTTTCATTAAATAATATAGGCAAGTGTTGTCTATTTATTTTATGTAAATTCTTTTCATAACGCCTGATAAGCTTAATAACATTATCATTAAACGAAGAAAGAAAATCACAATATTGATCTATATTTTTTAATCCAATCTAAGCTTTCAGCTTACATAATCCGTTATCAAAGATGTCAATTACTGTACAACATATTAAGCAATATACGAATTAAATAATATTTATGTTGGTCACACCACAAACTCGCTTTCACGACGCTTGACACTACATTTGAATGATAACTCAAACATTTTTAGGCATTTAAAACAACATACCTGCCCGCACACACAATTCCGTAAAACCCTTATCGAAAACACAAATATACTTCAATATGAAAACAATAAACAAAAACTAAAAATTCTTGAAGCTATATACATCACACAGTTGAAACCCAACCTTAAACAAAATCAACTGTGGAATCTCTACAAATATCCTTAAATGTCTATAACTGGTAACAGAAGCCATTGGTTTATACCAACGGCTTCCCATACTTAATACTTCTCGAATTCACTTGCGCGTGGTCATGTGTGACGTCATGAGCTGCGGTGTGATTTTTCACTTCTAGCGTCTTATATGCACGTGTTTATTGTTGCTAGGAAATCATCCATGTAAGCAATCACAGACTATCATTACTGTCTTGTCTCTATATTGTTTAAATGTTTTGGATTTGTCCAATTCTCGAATAAATATTTGAGTACTCTGCTCGAAACTTGTATTCCTTGGAATGCTAACTGCCACACAGACACGTTGTAACAGCTTTTCACATTTCTTGTCAAATCCTCACTTTTCTCAATACGGGATATTTAATAATAAACGTGATCAAAACAAAAACATAAAGGAACTTAATATAGTCGGTTAGACTTTACGCTCAGATTCGTCTAAAAAATTAATTAATTTAAAAATGTTTAAACTTCAGGGTTTCAATCGCATTTTCATTTGAAATGTAGACACACAGACCCTCTGGACAAAGAAAGGCATAATTTTCCACAATCATTTGTCATTTTTATTCTTGTAAATACCAATCGTTCACTTTTAGTATCTTCCATTCCTTCAGTCCAGCTACGTAATAATAACCGGCCGCTCATATTCGCGGATGCTTGTATTCTGTGGCAATCTTAGGATTGAGTTTCGGATATGTCGAAGAGGAAACAAGCGAAAAAAATCTACTGCTCTTCAAAAGACAGCAGAGAAGGGTGAACCGGGCGATAAGCGAAATACATATTTTAAAATCATATTGCATTAAATGACTTTCGATTTTATAAAAAAGAATATGAATTTCTGAAGTTGTCAATAATGAATATGAATGTGACATCCTGATAATCTTTTAATTTCCTGACTTAAACTCATTGCAAAAATATTCTCGGCCACGTAATGATTTACAGTAAGTTGACATAGCGCTTGATTGTGTGCAGAGACAGGAAGTCACCCACGTGAAGTGAAATTGGCAAATGAATACATACACATTTCTCACGGAAATAATGCAGCAATGTTTTTTCATGCAGCAGAGAATGGAGTAGTTATCTATCTATTTACATATATATACACACACACACACACATATATATATATATATATATATATATATATATATATATATATATATATTTATATATATCTTCATATCTATCTAATTCTATTCATACATATCTATCCATCTATCTATTTTTCTATTCAATTCTGTTCATCTGTTTATCAGCACGCCTGTCTGCCTACTTCACTGTTCCTATCTTAATATGTCCATTATCTATCTATCTATCTATCTATCTATCTATCTATCTATCTATCTATCTATCTATCTATCTCTCCCTCCCCCTCTCTCTCTCTATATATATATATATATATATATACATGTTACTATTCATATCTAATTCTATTCATATCTATCTATCTATCTATCTATCTATGCAATTCTGTTCATATCTGTCTTTTTATCAGCATGTCTGTCTTGTTCAATCTGTTCCTATTTTAATCTGTTCATTATCTATCTATCTATCTATCTATCTATCTATCTATCTATCTATCTCTCTATATATATATATTTATATATATATATATATATATATACATGTTACTATTCATATCTAATTCTATTCATATCTATCTATGTGACTTTTCATATATTCTGTCTTCAATTTTTATACCTATCTATATCGCTCTATATAACTATTTATGCAAGTTCGTTCATATCATACTGTCTGACTCTCTATGTCAACTAGTCATTATCTATCTATCTATCTATCTATCTATAATAGAATAGGATGTAGTATTTTGGGGCAACATTTTCACATTTATTCACGTATGTTTAAAAATCATCGAAAGTAACATATATATATATGTTCCTTATTTTCAATTTACCTTCTTAAAAATTTCTAATAGTTTCTTTTTTTTTTAAATTTCCACTTGGTGATGATAAATACAAATCCCCATAACTAAGTTTTCGTAATTTTCTTTTGGCTAACACGAATTCTATACAAAGACGTTTATTGTTTGTTAAGTAATCAGTGTCAGCAGTTTTAAATATCGTCTTTAAATATCCATCTCTTTGGAATGGTCATATCTACCTATCTATTATGTCCGATTCTATTTTCTGGTAAACGTGATTCTTGCCATCGCGTTTTAATTCCAGGCGGCATTCGATACAGGAAAAATACTGAAATCTAAATTCTATTATCCAAACAATATTGACCCACAGCGATGTCGGATTAACAGCCTCCAAATATATATCCCGCATTAACAAATGAAATAATATAGGTGACCATAGAAAGACAAACAAATAATAAATATTGAATCACAATTTTTGATCAAAATTTAGTTAGATGATACAGCTAAGTGAAATTCTGTACATGTATGATAAATGTCAAAGCTACCTACTCTTTTTCCCCCCTTAATTTTATCCACTTAACTCGACAAGACGAACCAGGTTTCAAAATGTCACGTAGAGTCTGTATTTTCTCTTTGTTCGATTGTTTTCTTTTATAAAAAGGCATTTTTTGTGTGATGTCTGCCTTGCAACTGTTTATCAATTTAGATATTTTCAGCACAGACGACATGTGATTATTCAGCGCATGCGCTAAGAATGAATTTAAGACAATAAAATTGCGCAGACGCAGATATTCCCACATACATGTATATATGGATATTTAAACATGAAATAAATATTCTAAGAAAATAAAAAAGGTACACATACACACCTATCTATCTATCTATCTATCTATATATATATATAAAATATATATATATATATATATATATATATATATATATATATATATATATATATATATATATATATAGCTAGGAGTTTATCTCTCTGTGTTTCTCTATCTATTTATCTATCTATCTATCCATACATATATACATACATACTATATATATATATATATATATATATATATATATATATATATATATATATATATTATATTTTATTCCTTTCTCTCTATATATAAATATATATATTAGAATTTATACCTATTTTAGAGATCATATCTATCTATCTATGTATCTATTTGGGAGTTTATATCTATCTATCTATCTATCTATCTATCTATCTATCCATTTTAGATTTTATATCTATGTATCTATCTATGCATGTACCTATCTATATATCTAAGAGTTTATATCAGAGTTTATATATATATATATATTAGAATTTCTATCTATCTATCTACCTATCTATATATGTATATATATATTGGCGTTTTTATTTATTTTAGAGATCATATCTATCTATCTATATTTTACTGTTTTAGCTATATAATTATGTATTCACAATCACTGAACAGAATTTTCACGAGATTCTAAACAGATAGGCTCATTTTACTTTTTACTGCTAATAATGCACTATTACTTATATCTGACACTTGCCTTAAATGCATCGACTTACACAAAAACAATTGTCAAATTATTTTTTGAGAATCACTATATTCACGCTTAACGTGTGTGTATGTTTGTGTTTATACACAAACATACACACACACGATGCAGCAGAAATGCCCACCCCCACACACACACATTCAAAAATTGAAAAATAGACTAATGTAATTGTAAAAATAAAAACTTATTTCAGCCGTTTTTATTCATTTCGTTTTTAAAACGTGTTGGGGCGCACCCACCTTCTGACTGATAATGGACTTATCCCTCTACGATATAAGTCAGTGCTAGAGAGAGTAGTGGTGTAGTGAGAAGGATCAGGTTACCATTACATGCCGTTGGACTGTAGACTTTTGCTATTGTTACTTACTAATCGGCGTTCTTTATTACTAATCACTCTGTTGTTAATTACCTCTTACAAATATACCAGTATTTATCCCTACAACTGTGTTTGTCTTTATTCGAATACACACATGCGGGAACACTCTCAACAGCTCAACAAAAAGTCATCCTCCAAATGTAGGCCGATTCTATGTATTTATTTTGACTTAGGTGCAAAAGGAAGCCTCTTCTACAACCGGCTATGGTAGACACTTCAGCCTTGGGTGGGCCCCGGTCTAAGAATAGAGTATTAAACTTTTATCATCAGACACATTTAACATTCTTGTCTCTAGATTATATTCGGAGAGTGTTATTCATGTTGCATTAGTGTCAATCAATATAATCTCAATTAGGTATATTCACCTTACTACATAAAATCATGCTTCAAATCTTTAGAGAACACACACACAGACACACACACATATTTACATATATACATATGTGTGTGAGTGAGAAAATAAGTTTACTTTCACACACACACATATACACACACACACACACATATATATATATACACCACGTTGAAGTACACACATATATATATATACACCATATATATATATATATATATATATATATATACACGACGTTAAGTACCCAAATTTGCAACTACAATATAGGCTGAATAAGCCTATATTGTGGTTGCAAATTTGGGTACTTCAACGTGGTGTAAAGATTAGTAACCTTCACTCGCTCGATCAGTTCGGTCTGAATATTGAATTCATCGTCGTCACTGGGTGCTCCATAATGTCAGCTGGTGCCACGTCTAAGATACTGTTAGGAAATTACTATTGTTGTTTTAGACAATTGTGACGTCCCTGAACACAGCCTTCGCTCGCTCCTCGCTGCTTCGTTCGGGTGTCGCCGCTCCAAACGTGACGTCCGCCTGTCGCGTCAGTCGTGTTGTCTCGTCCTGTGACGACCAACTGGCTTGGTATCGGTCGCGGCACCCAAATGTGATGTTCTAACCTTTTGGTGATTCGGATGGGAATCTGGTTAGATTCGATATCAGCATCGTCGTTCCCAACTCGCTTCCAACGTCTGGTTACCAAAGTAACTGCGTTGATCTCCAGTCCGCCCACCCATGTTGTGAATCGATCGTAGGCAGACGAAATCAATCATTCGTTGGGGCCGCAATGCAAGTTGGGTCCAAGCGGGGGTGGTATCGCACAAATACGTATAAAAGAAATAAAATAATAACTCAAAAGTTCAAGGTATCAAAGAAAAGGATAACAAACTTTATGTCTAGTTGTTGGATACATAGGACTGCGTCTATCTCCCGACCCGTTCTATGGATTGTGACAGGTTGTTTTCCGTTAGGCGAGTTTTAACACTTCAAGTTGTTTGTTCTTTAAGAAATTGGGTTTTTTTTGGTGTGTCTTCGGGCGAAAGTCGAAAAAAAAAACTTATTTTGGTGGTCTGGATCTAAGTCGCTCTTCAAAATAATTGTTCTTGGATTGAAGATGAGTCCGGAAATTGCGCGAATCTTGGTCAGCCGATGCGAGGCTTGCTTCAACTGAGCACTGGAGACTGACTCTGGGAACTGTCTCTCCCGAACTCAACTCTGGAACTCTCTGCTGGAACTCTCTTTTCCTTTCTTTCCTTCCTCTCTTTCCTTTCTTTTCTTTTTTGCCTTGGTAAATGGTGCCACACAATTTCTAACACCTGGAAGTGGAAGTTTAAATGCTTCCAGGCCTCCCACGTGGTATTTCTTTCAAACGCCGCACTTGTTTTCCCTGAAATTTTCGGCCCATATAGCAGCATCGATTTTCTATCTGGAACAACAACATTCCGAAGTGACATAAAATGAACACGAAAAGCTCTCTGTATTACGATTACAGATTCACCAATCTTTAAAACAACGCGTCAACAACAAACGCGCCGTGTGCGCCGTCCCAAGACATGATGGAAATTGATGCTATCTGGAAAAATGGTAAAACATTAGCTAGATGAAGATACCATTACTACATGTCTATGTTCACCAGCAGCAAACATGTCTCCCTCTAAAATGCAGGATATATTTATGTCATATATATATATATATATATATATATATATATATATATATATATATATATATATATATATATGAATATACAGAGAGAGAGAGAGTGAGTGAGTGAGAGAGAGAGAGAGAGAGAGGCAAGATGACACACTGATGAACTGCGATACAGTGAAACAGTCTATATGTGGATGACAATATATATATGCTCCTGAAAAATTATTTCGGTTGTTCTGATCATTAATTTAGTAGTTTGTTTTGCATCACAGATCTGCATATATAGATAGTCGAGGAAAATCGCAACGCACGTGGCCTGACGATAGTTTTTACAATGAAACAGACTGTCACCTTTGGGTGTAGTGACCTTAAACATAGCAGTAGTAGCACCTCTAGAATATAAAAACACGTGAACACTAACGTAACTTTCTCTTTCCCAAAGGTTTCCTCTTTCGAACTGGAGTCATGAAATTTCCACGCTAAAATGGCTGCGACATGGAAACACACAAAGTTATCAGTACAATATATTGATGAACAATTCGTTTTGTGTAAAATTTAGGTCTTACAGACGAAACTCGTGTTTTAAATATTCTTTTTGTTAATTTGTCTAATAAAACATTCCTTAACAAATCTTACACATTTAATTATTGAAGTAGCTAATCAATAAATGATGTTGATCACAATGTCCGCTTTTATAATTACATGCGATCTATCACTGTTACTGAGAAAATTAACCTATAAATAACACATACCTAAAAACAATATTTTTTTATATATATATATATATATATATATATATATATATATATATATATAGAGAGAGAGAGAGAGAGAGAGAGAGAGAGAGAGCGAGAGGGGGGCAGCCGGAAGTCTAGTCACACTGAAGAGCTGCGATACAACGAAACAGTCTATTTGTGGATGACAATATATATGCTACAGAAACATTATTTCGGTTGAGCTCTCTGGGAAAAATGTGTGAGTTGGTAAACAGTGACTATTACTGCTACTAACGCAATAAACGTTGATAAAACGAATCGAGTTCTCTCAGTCACAGTCTTGTTTATCTAAGAACAAATACGTTTAAATTCACCTTCATTGCTTTCATGTACCAGCGGCTTAGAGGTAGATTCTCCGACTGATGCCAATTCAGTCGGGTTTCAATCCTAGACAACCGGACGTCTAGACACTGTGATACAGCGAAACAGTGTGTCTGTGGATGACAATATATATATATATATATATATATATATATATATATATATGTATATTTGTGTGTGTGTGTGCATTTGTGTTATAGTCATTGAAATGGATAGCCGCTAGATACAAGAAGATGACACGCCGATTGTATGTATTTATATTGACTTAGGTGCAAAAGGAAGCCTCTTCTACACCCGGCTATGGTAGACACTTCAGCCTTGGGTGGGCCCCGGTCTAAGAATAGAGTATTAAACTTTTATCATCAGACACATTTAACATTCTTGTCTCTAGATTATATTCGGAGAGTGTTATTCATGTTGCATTAGTGTCAATCAATATAATCTCAATTAGGTATATTCACCTTACTACATAAAATCATGCTTCAAAACTTTAAAGAACACACACACAGACACACACACATATTTACATATATATATATGTATGTGAGTGAGAAAATAAGTTTACTTTCACACACACACACACACACACACACACATATATATATATATATATATATATATATATATATATATATATATATATAAGGGTACTAAGGTCAACAGCGGGCAGAGAAATTCTGGTTCATGCTTGAAAGGTTATATTCAGGGCCATAAACGCCACGACAAAGAAATTTATTCATTTTGTCTTTAGCCATATATATATATATATATATATATATATATATATATATATATATATATATATGTGAATAACGACAAAATTAAAACTTTTCGTAGCTGACGTTATAAGTACTTATATACACGAGTAAAAATATTATTGAATAATATAACACCAAAATTAATCCCAAACTAAAATAATTTTTGTTTCTTAGTGAATTGTGTCGTTTCGTCTCCGACACAGCTTGCCTGAGTTTTCAACTAACCTGATGAATATTTATGAGCGATTTTTAATTTAAAATAGTTGGAAACGCATAATATTTTTGCTCTTGCATTGAAAAAAATATAATCCTTGCATTTAACTTGATAAAGTTCCTCTGATTTCTAAGCTAGGTAAATTTTCCTTCTTTTTTTTATTCACACACACACACACACACACACGTGCGCACATATATATATATTTTTTCTAAAGAATTAATAGATTTATTTGAATGCAAAATTGTCATCATTTCAAACGTAATTATAA